TGCCTTTGCAATGGCAAGCGCAGAAGATTGACCTTTGTCATCTTCCGTGGAGCTATCAACGGATTGCACCACTGTGTCATCAGCTGTTGACTCACCAACGGCTGGCGCTGCCACATCGGCACCGAAAGTCATTGTCGTATCTTGGCTTGATCCTGAGTTCATTGTGGTCGTAGTAGATCAAGTAGTCGTTGCTGTAGAAAGGCAGAGCCGCGTACGGCTGATAACCTGCGTGGGGGATTGATCTCGACTTGGTTGCTGCTCTCCCCACCAGAGCTGTAATGAATGTAGGTGTGGCTGGCTAGCACTCTCCACAGACTGGACCCTGTCTCTCCCTCTTACTTCCACACGTGCAATCCTATGCAGGCAGAACCGGCGGCCGTTCCTTTTGCACTCACTGCCGGCGGCGGTTCGTCTGTGCAACGGGATAGCTCTGATTGCTCAGGATAGAAGACACATATAGCACTTAGCTATGGGCATTGACTTGAGCCAAACGTTGCGTTGGCGGTCACATAGAAAGGTAAAGATGAGGGATGCGTAGCATGCCCCCTTAGAGTCGAGGGACGCGTAGCGTGCCCCCTTCTCTTGCACTTTACACGGTCTTGCTCACAGCTCTTATAGTGACACCTTAGAACTTGACAAGGCATCGCAGTCCGTTCGCACCTACTACTACTACTACTACTACTACTACTACTACTACTACTACTACTACTACTACTCCTGTTGCTGCTGCTGCTGCTGGTGGTGTTGCTGCTGCTGCTGCTGCTGCTGCTGCTGCTGCTGCTGCTGCTCCTGCTACTGCTACTGCTACTGCTACTGCTACTACTACTACTACTACTACTACTACTACTACTACTACTACTACTACTCTTGTACTAATACTACGACGACTACAACGACTACGACTACTACTACCACCACGACATACAACTCCTCTCGTACTCGCCTACTCCCCTACTCTCACACTCTCATACTTTCCTACTCTCCTACACTCCTGCTGTGCTACTTTCCTACTCTCCTACTCCTACTCCTACTCCTCCTGTTACTCCTACTGCTGCTCACCACGTACTGCTCCTGCTATAGTGCTGCCAGTACTGTTGGTACTGCTAGTACTTCTAATGCTGCTAGTAATGCTTGTGCTGCTAGTACCGCTACTGCTGGTGCTGCTGCTGCTGCTGCAGCAACAACAACAACAACCATCAACGAACGACAGCGACGACAACTACTACTGCTGCTGCTACTATTACGACTACTACTGCTACCACTACTGCTACCAATGCTACTACGACTGCTACTAGGGCTATTGTTGCTACTGCTGCTACTAGTACCGCTTCTGCAGCGACTCTATTACTCTACTACTGTGCTGCTACTGCGATCGCTAGTGCTAATTACTACTACCACTACTATCAGGACGACAACGAAGACGACGACGACTCGCATGGCAGTTGCCGCTGCTACTACCACTCCTGCGATTTCATATTGCCCTTCCTTCCGACTCCTATTGCTGTTCCCACTGCCATTGTCCTACTACTGTTGCTAACCAGCTGTTGCGGCCACTGCGCTGCTAACCATATTGCTGTGAAAGCCTTAAAACCGGATCTTGTAGACCAAGCACGACATGCCGAAACAACGAACGGTCCTGGCCTGCTGCTTGAGATCCAGACCATGCCCCTTGAGAGTCGCCTAGCTTGAATGCGGTGGGTTGCCTGCTTGAGATTTCAAGGCCTATGGGTTTCGGAGTGGATGAGGGTCAAGCACTGCGGATGATTCTACATAGCTACACGCTTCCGTACATCTACTGCAGTATCGTTACGATTGGCATTGTTGACTGTGATTTGCTTATCTGGAACATCATCGACCATCATCTTTGCTGACAGTCTGTTTTAAGGATACCCAATGGCTGTACCAACCACGCACATGCACATGCGAGTGCCCTCCTGTGCGACAGCAGTGTGGCAATGAGCACTCCCTGTTTCGGAACAGGAAGCTGCCCGTCCAAACGAACCATTAGTGGCACCGAACGATGGGAATGGGGGGGAAGCGAATCGTAAACGAATGAATGAATCAGTACAAACAAACACATACAACACACATATATATATATATATACATACAGCTATCTAGCTACCTGACTGTTTATCTACTATCTATGTAAGTGATCTATGTATCCATCAATCTATGTCTATGTCTTTACTTAGTTGGTTGGCTAGTTATTCGATCCTTCGCTAGATTGTCAGTCAGTCAGCCAGTCAGCCAGGCAGCCAGGCAGTTACTTGGCCAGTTACCTCTAAGCCAGTTATTTATATGTGTGTATATACATCTAAATGAAAATCTCTATGTGTGTTTTATGTGTGTGTGTGTGTCGGCATTTGTGAATTGCGTGTTTTGTTTCTCCCCGTATCAATCTATCCGTCTGTCTATCTACCTACCGACCTGTCTATCTATCTGTTTATCTATCTATCTATCCGCTTCTCTGTCTATCTACCCATCTAGACTTAAAAAACACTATTGTAAGAAGCTAGTTTGTTCGCTTGTTTTTCTATTTACATGTGTACATGTTGCGCTATGCTAACTAACCGAAGAAATATGTGTATATATATATATATATATAATTACATATATGTAGTGTACTATCTGCACAACCACCCGAAACGTTCAAACAAAAAGACTCGCGCTATTCAGCCCAAAACGATGGCCCTCACCACCCAACAACTTAAACACCCCTCCCTTGCAAGGCCTGATGCAGGTCCCAGGCAAGGGTGAATACCGGCGAGTCGTAGAGGACTTTCGCACCCTGGCACGGGATGGAATGCGAGACGACTAGCAAAGGGCCATCAGTTCCGTACCGACATCAGAAACCGCGAACCGTTCGCCTGTACCCGAATTTCTGCTGCAAAGACTGGCTCAGAATTGTGAGCTTTCAGCGTTGGACTGCCACGACATGCTCTCAGGTCTCAGTCCCTGGCTTCCCACTGCGCCCAGTTTGCCTGCTCTCCAAAGATCCACTGAGGTACGCATAAGAAAGCACACCGGAATCATGAACAGCAGTAGCATCTTCAAATCGTCTGACCATCATACAATCATCCTCATCACACTCACCAGAATCTGCCATCAACACCGTATGCGTTCGAAACATGTCAAGACTTTGCCGAGTGAAGGCACCGAATCACATTGGCAAGAGCAAGTGAGAACAGGACAGTCCACAGCAAGAGACCATCGTGAACGACAGCAGCTCCCATATTTTTTTTTTTGAACCCTCTTTTCCGTCTGCCCTGAAAGGTTAGGTGGAACACCAGTTTGGCGGAGGGACCCATATATTTAGGGTTTAGGGTTTTGGGTGCCAGAAATAAGAACAAAGAACTTGGATTGACAGCGGCCATGACCGCTGCTCTCACCAAGTGATGCCGACATCAACGGAACCCACTCTTCGCTGGTCATCACCTCTGAGCGCATACTGCAAGACACTGCGACATCGCCTTAATATGTAGTAACTAATAAACAATAACGTAAAATATGCTATATATATAATATACAATACATAATGTGTATTATATTAGAAGTTTATGGTGTATAGTATACATTCTACAACCATCCCTCTTTGGAATCTGAGATTTTCGGCCTCCAGCTCCCAACGAAGTGCCTTCGACGAGCGGGGAAGACTTAGGGAATCGAAGGGACTGGACTAGATGGCTCGATGTCAGGATCTTCTTGAATTCGGAGCTGTCGTGATTGGGACCTGGAAGGCTTTGTTGGTGGGGTATCTCCGAGAGGACTTCGCACAAAACGCGCCTGAATTGCTGCTTCTAGGTGGCTCGATTTGGCTTGGGCAAGTGCAGACTAGGTTATTCCAGACTACCTGCACCTCCGCCGCACGGGCTTAGACTTAGATGGTGTTGGAAATTCACGTCGAAGCTTGCCAGTCCACGACTGGGAAACAACTTTGCATGACACCTCTTCTGACGGCGCCTGTGCTGCAGCTGTAAGGCAGCTTGGAACGAGTTGATGGAACCGTGGTTATTCAAATCAGAACCCGGCTTTGTCCGAGCTGAAGATGCACAAACAAGGAAGGTGATCTGCAACCTGCTTTACCTGCGTCTCACTGCATCTTCTATGCTTTACCTGCGTCTCACTGCATCTTCTAGCAGGTGCCAAAGCCATGTGCCCCTAAAACGGCACTGCCGACCCGCCCTAAGCGACGGTCTGTTGCGGGTCGCTGGAACGATGCTGAACAAGAACCTTCATGCACGCGCTCAGAGCCAAGAGGGCTCAATGAAGAGCCGAGCTCAGGCGAAGAGGCCCACGTAGAAGAGCGACATGCCGAAGATAGCCCCGGCCAGGATGTGATAGTCCAAGCTGAAGTCCAAGATGCTGCGGTTCTCCCAGGAATCTGGCGAGTGACACAAGGGGCCACTAATCTGCACTGCCACCACCGACCCCTAGGAAGCCGTAATCTCAGGTAGCCCCCCAAACACCGTCCGAAAAAGAGGCGCCCCCGGCCTGTCTTCGCATCAGCACCAAGAGCGGGCATCAGCCAGTCGGGCAGCTCTATCTCGAAGAAAGAGAAGGGCTCGCCGGGCTTCTCGTTGAAGGGCTCGTGGTGGGGAGCCTGCCTGGCAGGAGCCCGAAGCTGCTCTCAAGGGAGCTTGGGGTCATTCAGAAAGCAGGATTCTGCGCCCTAAACCCTAGACCCTAAACCCCAAAGCCTAAAACCGAAACCCCAAACCCTTCTACAGCTTCGAAGGGCCTGGGGAGGCGCTGAACGGAGAAGTTTGTGCTTGCTTTCAGCGCGGCGAGGAGCAGCACCAGGCTCAAGATCACGCGGCAGCGCTTGGCCATGGTGTCCGGTCAACCTTACCAATCCGGAACGTAACGGGGCTTCCGAAGTAAACTTGAGCCCGTGTTCGAACACCAGCAGGCAAGCAGTGCATGCGTTTGAGACAGATCCTTACAAAGCGTCCTAATGCGACGTGTCCTTACAGGGATTGCTTTGGAAGGGTGAGCCATCAACTTAAGCTATCAACATGCTGGTCCAGGCTGACTCCGATCCTGCATATAAAAGCGCAGGCGCAAGTTTGCTCCTCGGAGTATGTGACATGACATGGACTCTTCGTCACAGCCTGCCGCAAGGCGTGGATCTTTTCCCAGACAGATCTATGAAGACTGCCTCGGGATGCATGGAGCCGTTCTTGTCCTCACAATTCTGACAACAGTGCCCTCCCTTCTACTCATTCCACACCGAAACACTCAAAGTTTCGAAAATGCGCAAACGGCTGGGTTCGCCGCCTTCTGGCAGCTGCAGGCAGCGATGGAGCACCTTACATACGACTTGCCTCCCCGATTTTTCCGCATTCTGAGCAAACCATCAAAAAGGCAAAGTCGCACGCACATATCTGCAACGTTCTCTATGTGCTTTTAAGCATTGACTGTCTATTTGCTTAATGTTTGCTTATGCATGTCTTGGCAAACTCAAATCTCGGGCTTCCGGGGGGCACCGAGTCCCAAACGGCCAAGGTGCCGTTCATCGTGAACCCGAACCTGTTCAGCAGCAGCCGGGTTGGAGGTTTGGGGGTT